CACGTTCCCTGTTCATGGCCTGCGATTTTGCAGCTGGGTTGTTGCTTTGCATGGCTTCCTGTCTGTCCTCCTGTGATTACCGACTGGCTTCTGGAGGCAGGTGCAGAGAGAGGGAGACAGTTTAGACAGGGGGGACTCCAGACCCTGCAGCCTGGGTACCAGCCCTTCCTGCACCCCATTTCCTCCTCCCAGGAGTGGAGAGCCTTCGAAGAGCGATCCACACGTCTGATTTTAAGTTGTGGTGTGGTTGATAATACAAGCAGGTCCAAATTGCTAGGGAAGCACACAGAGGGTCAACTTCTTAGTTTTGGGGAAAGGGGCAAAAGGTCAACGCTTTCCTTGGGGCCATTCCTGTGGTGAATCCCATTTCAAGAACTCAGTATTCCTGTCCCTAAATATCCTTGGCTGGAGAGGTACAAAAGGGGTCATTGCACAGGGTATGTGTGGAGGGGATAAAGTCACAGAAATGACTGGGCAGAGGAAGTGGAAAATTTAAAATAGATTCATTGTTTTTTTATTCTACTTGCATATTCATAGGCTTATGAACTGTTATTATTATTATTATTATTAATTGTGGTGGAATACATCTAAAGAAGGTACCGTCTGTATTAGTTGGCTAGAGCTGCCATAACATAGTACTGAAGACCAGGCAGCTTGAACAACAAAAATTTGTTTTCTCCTGGTTCTGGAGGCTGGGAGCCCGAGATCAAGGTGTTGGCAGGATTGGTTTCTTCTGAAGCCCCCTTCCTGGGCTTATGGATGGCTGTCTTCTTGTGCTTTTTCACGTCATCTTTCTCTGTACGTGTAAGTGTCCTAATTTCCTCTTCTTTTGAGGATGCCAGTCATCCTGGTTTAGGGCCCACCCTCATGACCTCATTTTAACTTAATCACCTCTTCCAATAATTTATTTCCAACGCAGTCACATTCTAAGGTAGTGGGGGTTTGGACTTCAACGTATGGATTTGGCGGGGAGGGGGTTGGCATGATTTAGCCTGTAACTCACTGTAAACTGCCTGTCACACCTAACTGCCACACAGTAGGAGGGCCAGAGAGGAACCGGCCTGCGGGTCCACTGGCTCCTCCTTCCAGGCTCCCCACCTCACCGTTCTGTCTAAGAGAGGATATGGATGTTGCCCCAAATTATAACACTATTCCTGGAAACTGTGGGCAAATGGGACTCTTAGAACCAAAGACATCTTATGTAGGTAACGAGTTGCAGTTAGTTAAGAGCACTCTTTGGAAATATTGTAGAGTCTTCAAATTTATTTACTTATTTAGAGAAAGCAGGCATGTGGTGGGGGGGATGGGCAGAGGGCGATGAAGAGGGAGAGAAGCAGACTCCCGGCTGACCACCCAGCCTGACTCGGGGCTTGATCTCATGGCCCTGAGATCATGACCTGAGCCAAAATCAAGAGTCAGACACTTAACTGATTGAGCCACCTGGGCGCCCCTATTGTAGAGTGTTCTACAGGCACTGCACACAAGAAAGGCTTGTCTCTTGCAAACAGTCCCAGCACACTATGGCATGGTGGGTTTTATCGTGACTTGTGTGAGGACCTCGTCATGAAGCATTGAAACATGAAGCATAAATGAGAACAGAGAAATCCAAAAAAAACTGTGCTGGTCGTATACAGCCTGGACTCAACAGTGTGGAGCTTCTCAGATATTGAGTATTGTAGATGGTACTGGATACTTCCTCCTGGAATGTTTCTATATTTGGAAAAAAATGTATTTATTGGCATTGTGGTAATACTTGTCTAGTTCACTGACTTTCTTTCTGAGTAGTGTTAATGGTAATTTGATATGATCGTGTGTCTAAATATACCCACATCATCCTAACAAGTATATGGGGTTCTACCATGGTGGATACCGATGGATGCGGCTAACAATTTGCAGGTTCATTGTGCAAGGGACTGTCCTAGCAGGGCTCCTGGGTAAAAGCCAGCAGCAGTCCACCAGGATCAGAACCGTCCTGGATAGTGTTTTCCTAAGCGAAGGTTTAGATAGATACTGAATGCTCAGCTTTCCAGCCATTTTTGCTTCTCAGATGAGTGGCAGCCAGCCTGGAAGAGCCTTCTTTGGAAAACCTGACGAATGCAGGGAAAAACACTTGGAAGTACTGACACGGGAGAGGGTCTCCTACAAAATGACCTGACCAGAACATTCTAAAGCAGCAAATGATCATAAGAATCACTTGGGGAGATTTGAAATGCTCTCCTGTACCCCTTCCTATCCCCAAATGGTCACATCAGAATTTCTTTCTTTCTTTTTTTTTTTTAAGATTTATCTATTTATTTGAGAGAGAGAAAGAAAGAGAGAAATAACACAAGCAGGGAGAGGGGCAGAGGGAGAGGGAGACTCCTTGAGCCAACTCCCCCCTGAGCGGGGAGCCTGATGGATATGGGGTTCGATCCCAGGACCCTGAGATCATGACCCGAGCTGAAATCAAGAGTCAGACGCTTAACCATTTGAGCCACCCAGGCTCCTCCTTATCAGAATTTCTGAGGATGGGGTCAGATCATTAGTGTCCACAAGCATCCCAGATAGTTGTGGCATGTGGCCGGGCTGAGAAGCACTGTGTAAAGGGAAGCCTATGGTTGGCATGTCCCACCACCTGCTCTGAGTTTCTAATCAGCTTTTAGTGACTCCTCTGAACTGTGAATGGACAGCCAAAGCTGACCAGACATGTAAGAAAAGCCTCTAACTTGAAGAAGGCCAAAACAATGAGAAAAGGTGAAGACTATGGAAAAAAAAATTTTTTTTTTTTAAATCTATTTTCAGTATCTTCAGAGAGATGAGAAGTTATTCCACTGGTGAAATGAGAAAAGGATGAGATTTTAAAAATTCAGAAGACAGGGCGCCTAGGTGGCTCAGTTGGTTAAGCGTTTGCCTGCAGCCCAAGTCATGGTCCCAGGGTCCTGGGATCGAGCACCGTGTGCAGACTCACTGCTCAGCAGGGAGTCTGCTCCTCCCTCTGCCCCTTTCATACCCTCCCCCCACCCCCGCTCCTGTTCTCTCTCTCTCAAATAAATAAAATCTTAAAAAAAAAAAAAAATCAGAAGACAGAAAAGCCCTTGGATATTAAAACATGACAGTAGAATTATTATTGTGCAAAGTTTTTGAAGAGAAAAGGAAAAAAGGATAGAAAGAAAAATCTCTATAAAAGATTAAAAGGTAAAGTTAAGGAAATCTCCCAGAACATTGAGCAAAAAAGTCAAAGGGAGAAAAAGGAAAGTCACAGAGATGGAAAAGATAAGAAAATAAGAGGAACAGACAGGAGGTCCAGCATTCCAACAATAAGCATTGCAGAAAGAGAACAGGGAAAACAGAAGAGAGAAATCATCAAAGACACAATTTCATAAAAGTTCCCAGAAATGACGAACATGAGTCTTCCGATTGCGAGGGGCCAGCCAAGGCCTAACACAATGGATGAACACAGACCCACACTACGATCCAGCATGGTGAAGTTTCAGAGCTACGGGGAAACTTCCAGAGAGAAACCAGGTTTCATACTTAGGATCAAGAGTCAGAAGGTATCTGAGCTCTCATCACAACACTGGAAGCCACAGGATGCTTGGCAACGTGCTCTCTCGGCTCACGCTCCTGGTCTGTAAAATGGGCATGGTGTCGTGTAAGCCAAGTTTCTGCAGGCGTCTCTAGAGGCTTTTTAAACAGAAGTGACCCGATTCCTCCTCTTTCTCACCTGCACTGGTCAGGGCTGACCTCCACACCCCTGTGTGTCCTTGGGGTCTCCTGCAGCTCTCAAGATGCTGAAGGTTTGCTCTAGTCCGCTGTGAAGCAGAGAGAGCCCCTCCTGCCTTTCGTCTTTCATGTCTGCACGGTTGGAGGGGTCATGTGGAGTGCTAATTGTACCTTCGCTTGTGGTTTGTGATGAAACAGTTTGTGGGCGTTTCCTGGGGCTGCCATAACAATGACCCCAAACTTGGTGGTTTCAAACAACAGAAATGTATTTGCTCACATTTCCGGAGGCCAGAAGTCAGAAATGAAGGTGTCAGCGAGGCCTTGCTCCCTCTGAAGGCACTGGGGGGAGGGTCTTCCCTGCCTCTTTCAGCTTCTCCCGGCAACACTTGGCATTCTCTGCCTTGTGGACACATCACTCCAATCTCTGCCCCCATCTTCCCCATGGCCTTCTCCTCCCTGTGTGTCTCTGTGTCCCCCGTTGTCTTGAAGGACATCAGTCACTGGATGTAGGGCCCATCTGAATCCAGAATGATCTCATCTTCAGTAATTACATCTGCTAAGACCCTATTATGGATTCCCAATTAGGGAATGGGACGGGAGTAACAGTTCAGCAGGAGCTGGGCCAGGTTGCAAATCTGAGGGACAGTCACCATGCTTTACTCAGAATCTTCACCCTCTGTCTCAGTCAAACTTGCTGGGTCAACCAACCAGCTCCTCCTTACTTCAAAATGTGATTGCCCCTGGACTGGTCCTCCCTGGCCCCCCTGGGGTCATAAATATGCCCATCACATATTTTAGCTTTAGGTTCAAGCTAGAACCTCTACTATATATGTAGGTGGAAAGAGCTGTAAAATCATAAGCATTACATTGAATATTATTTATTCTGCTTATTAAAAGCAACCAAGAGCTTAACTATTTCACACACATCTTGTCTCTTATAATTCCATTATGCATTCATTCAATAGACATTATTGAGCTATGCACCAGGCACAGCAGGATTTGGAATATATATAGTTGGCTAGATCAAAGACTCCTGGGTTGTTGTGGAGCCTGCCAGGGATTTTGATGATCTTCCCTAATCAGCCTTCTTTTACTTTGCCTCAGTACCTGATCCTCTGCCAGTGTGGAGGCAGCTGCCTGAGACCTGTGACCAGCCACTGATGGAGGGGAAAACATGTGGGTCTATTCCTACAAACTCACCCTTACCAGGCAAGAGAAGAAGGACTCAAAGCTTGTTAACTACAGCTTGATTGGATGAGAGCAGGGAATCCCCCCCTTCCAGGGGGTGGTTCTCCAAAATGATTGCCCACCTGACCACCAGAAATAACATGGGCACTGCTGAGACCTCAAGGACCAACGTGACGAGAATGGCCAGAGCTCCATCCAGGTGTTCTTTATCTTGAAGCCAGTCATGTTGTTACCCTGTGCGACTTCTAATAGTTTGGAGCCAAGGCCCTCACAAGTCAGGTGAACGCGCATGTGAGGGAGGGCGAGGGTGATATGATGAAGCTGGCAACACCTGCAGAAAACTTCGGTAAAGTTTGTGTTGGGGTGGAAGTTCTGCACACATCACAGATGGAGAGAAAACCTTACAGACCTGGAGGCAACCTGTTTGGATGGTTGGAGAAAGCAGTTGCCTCTGTCCCATGTCTGTTGAGTATTAGGCAGCAGTATGCTTTCTGGGAGTCAAGGAGAAGGGACCCAGGGCTTACCAGCGACTCCCCTCCAGGTCTTGGCATTAGGAGAACGCAGTTAACCTTTTTTGGTAGCATTCTTCCTCACGTATGATGATTCCACTTTCTTAACCCATCGCCTTCCCCAGTATCTTTCCCAGCTAGAAGCCCCTTGAAGACACAGATGGTGCATCATTGGACATCCAGGGCTTAATGCACAGCGCTGGGCACATTATCCCCAATCCCAAGGATTTATGGAATGACTTACACCCTAACCTGGAAATTGAGGAGGCTTTGGCAGGTTACAGGCTTCATCAACAGGGAATGTTGTCCAACTGCTTCCAGGAGACATACGGGAGAGAAGGAGGGAGGTCGGCATAATCTAAAATCATGCTCGTGTCTAAAAATCTGACATAACTAATTAATTTACAAATGCCAAAGTCACCACAAGTGGTGGGTGGACTAAAATGATTACAGGAGGAGAGGAAAAGCACAGACAGATCTTTCCGATTACTGAAGGAAACCAGCAAGTGGGGAGTGAAGGGTTGCATTAAATTTTGGGGGGAATGTAAATTGTCAGCACTGTCTCCAAGGGCTTCAGGTCCCAGGCGGTGGGTTGGCATGTGAGACGCTGGGGTACGTGAAGGGCCACCATGAGGCTTAGAGAGGGTGGTGCCAAGGCTTATCAGGGCACCATGGCCTCTGGGGTCAGACCTGGTTTTGAATCTGAGCTCAGTTCCTAGACTTTGTATGACTTGGGACACGTTGCTCATCAGTCCCCAGTTTCACATCTCTAAAATAGGGACAATCACATGTACCTCAGAGGGTTGCAGTAAGGACCAAATAGGTCACAAGTGAAAGTGTCCAGTGGTTTCTGGCACTTACGACACGTTCAGTCAGTGTAAGTTTACTATTATTATCTCTCTTACTGGCTTGTGCAATGTACACCACTGCATCTGTTTCTTCGTCTGTAAAAAACAGAATACATCAGAGTTGTTTGGCACATAGTTGATGATCAGTAAAGGTTTTATTTATAACTTTTTCTGACTTTTTGTTTGGAAACAATTTTAGACTTAAAGTTGCAAAAATACTAGAGCGTTCTCCTTCACTCTACAGCAGGCTTCCCCTAATGTTAACATCGTCTGTAATGATAGTCCATTGATGAATCCAGGAAATTTACACTGGCAAGAGGCAATGCCATTCACTAAAGTGCAGACCTCTTCCAATTCCCCCAAATGCTCTTTCCTGTCCCAGTTTCCATACCAGAATCCCGTGTTCTGTTTAGTCCAATTTTTGACAGTTCCTCGCTTTTTGTCTTTCACGACCTTGACACTTTTGACCAGTACTGGCCAATTACTTGGAAGAGATATTTCTCAATTTGGGTTCGCCTGATGTTTTCTGGTGATTAGATCAAGGTTATGTACTTTTGGCAGGAATACCAGTCATGATGTTGTGTTACTTTTGTTTTTCTTTTATCTTTATCACGGTAAAATACACATACAACTTACCACTTTAAACTATTTTAAAGTGTACAATTCAGTGGCATTTAGTACATTCACAGTGTTGTGCACCCACCACGTCCATCTAGTTCCATCACCCCCAAAAGCAACGCCTTCCCAACAGCTGCAATCCCCATTCCCAGCGCCCCCAGCCCCTGAAAATCACCTGTCTGCTTTCTGTCTATGGATGTGCCTATTCTGGACATTTCATGGAAATGAAATCATACAATATGTGGTCTTTCCTGACTGGCTCTTTTTCACTTAGTATCATGTTTTCAAGTTTCATCCCCGTTCCTTCATGGATTAGTACTTCATTCCTTTTTATGGCTGAAAAATATTCCATTATGTGGACAGGCGACATTTTATTTTATTTTCTAAATCAACTGTGAATCCTGGCGTGGGCCCCAGGGCTGGGCCTGGAAAGTGAGGGGAGGAGGAAGGAGACCCTTGTGACTGGCAGGAGGTATTAAGTATGAGGGGAAGGGCCAGGATTGGTGCACTGGGGAGTGGGGAGTATGTATGGGGACTGTACGACACATTGCAGACAACATTCAGGGAGGCCCCCGTGGGGCTGCCCTATGGATAGCAGACTCCTGTGAAAGTTTCATTTGTGGGCAGGTAAAAGCAGTTGTAGCAGATGGCCCAGGCACGGGAAAGGCAAGTCTCTGGGGCTGGAAGAGCAGGCCTGTGGGGGCCGAGGCACCAGAGGCTGGGGCTCCGACTGCGGTGGTTGCGGCGAGCACGCTCAGGGAAGGGCTTGTGCCCCCGGGGCCCGTGCTCATTGCTTAGAGAGGAAGCGGTGCCTCCCTTCGGCAAATGCAATAGTTGCAAACTTGCATGTATTAAAAAAAGGTGTGCTGACAGGCAAACATTTTCGTTTCCTAAACATCGCACCCGGGCTGCTCCTTAACTAGCAGTAACCACTGGTTTTCCTCGAGCGGGTCTGGGGGCCCGAGGCGGGAGGAAAACGGGTCTCGCAGAACCCCGTCACCCCCGCAGTCCCCGCAGCCCTCGCACGTCCCTCAGCCCAGCAGTGCCTGCAGCGGTGGTCGGGGCACCTCGCCGCCGGGTGCGGCGGGCGGAGGACTGAGGCGGAGCTGCAGCTGGCCCGCCCCGCCCCCGCCCTGCAGGTGGGGCTGCGCTGCCGCCTGGTGGCGGTACTACTGCATTACTTCTTCCTGGCCGCCTTCTGCTGGATGAGCCTCGAGGGAGTAGAGCTCTACTTCCTGGTGGTGCGCGTGTTCCAGGGCCAGGGCCTGAGCAAGTGGCAGCTCTGCCTGATCGGCTACGGGGTGTCCCTGCTCATCGTGGGCATCTCCGCGGCCGTCAACAGCGAGGGCTATGGCCGCACCCTCTAGTGAGTGCAAGCAAGCGAGCGGTTCGACTGGAGGGCAGGGAACCCCAGTCCGGGCCACAGTGCCCCGCCCCTCCGGGGCTCTGACGGGACCCTCCCCTCTCACCCAGTTGCTGGTTGAACCCAGCCCGTGGCTTCCTCTGGAGCTTCCTGGGACCTGTGACCTTCATCGTTCTGGTAAGTGCCTCCCAGGCCCCCAGCCTGAGGGGCGTGACCCCACACCGAGCCCTACTAGACCAGTTCCCTCCCTGCAGTTCCAAGGACTCCCCCTAATGCAAATTCTGTGCTCCCGGCCCAGTGCAATGCTGTGGTCTTCGTGACTACTGTCTGGAAGCTCACTCAGAAGTTTTCGGAGATCAACCCAGACATGAAGAAACTAAAGAAGGCCAGGTGAGAGCAGGGGCCAGGAGGGGGCTGGCAGGGAGCCTAGGGTGTTTGAGCGGGGCCTCCCCCACTGAAGCCCCGCCCTCCTTGCAGGGTGCTGACCGTCACGGCTGTGGCTCAGCTCTTTGTGCTGGGCAGCACCTGGGTCTTCGGCCTCTTCCTCTTCAACCCGCAGAGCTGGCTGCTCTCCTACACCTTCACCATCCTCAACTGCCTGCAAGGCCTCTTCCTCTTCGTGCTCCACTGCCTGCTCAACAAGAAGGTGAGCTGCAGCCACTATGGGTGGGGTGCGCGGGGGCCCCGCTCCCGGGGCCTGCCCCTTCCCTAACCTGGCACCCTGGGCCCCACAGGTGAGGGAGGAGTACAGAAGGTGGGCCGGCAGGGTCACGGCGAACAGGTACTCGGAGTTCACCACATCCACGTCTGGCACCAGCCACAATCAGACCCAGGTAAGGGCTGAGCCTGGGGTCGGGGTGCTGGGCCAGAGGGCACCCCACCCAGACTCCGTTCTCACGGTGCTCCTTTCTCACCAGGCCCACAGGCCCTCCGAGTCCGGTATGTGACAGCGCGGGTCTGGCCAGGCCGGTAGCTCCTGCGGCCTCAGCAGCTTTTGCACGTGCTGAAGACTGTTCCCTCCTCCTCCACCACTCCGCTCCCTCTGCCCTCCTGCCTTGGCCCCCACGTGCATCATAGAAAGCAGGGGGCAGCAGCTGTAGTCTGGCACCGAACCCCAGAACACCCAGCCAGGTGGGGAGTTGGACCTGCCGGGCCTGCTTCTGGCGGCCTCTCGGCTGCACTCCAGCTGGGACCCAACATGAGGGCAGCAGCTGGCCCGGGGCTGCAGCCCGTCCCTGCTACACAGGCCTAGACAGACCGAGAACTCCTGTGCCCGGCCTGGCCTTTCCCCTCATCTGTCTTTGCCACAGAACGAGAGGCCAGGGTGCTGGGGCCCAAGCTGCCCCTTAAGCTAAGACTGAGGCCAGGGGTGGGAGAAGGGCAGGGGCCCTCCTAGCCCTGTCGCCTGAGGTTCACGGTACAGAGGCCCATCTGCCCCTGGAGGCAGAAGGCTCTCGCTGTTGTGAAGGTTGTGGATACTGTATGGTTTTTTTTTAATCTGTATAAACCTTTCAATGTTGACACTTAAAAATTAAATACCACACTGATAACAGAAGCTGGCTGTGGGGGATGGCTGGAGCTCACTGGCCAAGCCTGCTACGTCCGTGAAATGCTGAGAACTGACAGGGCGGGAGCCAGGATTCCGTAATAAAACTTTACTCATACACAAATCTACAGCTTTTGAACAGTAAAAAGGAAGGCCCGCTGATGCCTAGAAAGAGGCCTGGAAGCAGCACTCAGGACACAGGGCAGCTCTGGCCATCAGGCGCGTGGTTACCGGCTCTGCTCAACTGTAAGACACACAGAGGGGAAGCCAGTGAGATGGGGAACAGGGGTTCCTGTCTGGGCCCAGCCCCTCGGCCCGCCTGACACTTACTGTATGTGGAGATGTCGATTTCTTCAGGAAGTTCTGCCACGTTCACTTCAAACCTGTCCTGAACGTCATTGAGGATTTTGGCATCATTCTCGTCAGATACAAAAGTGATAGCCAGACCTTTGGTCCCAAAGCGACCTGCACGGGCCACCTGCAGGGTAACAGAAGCAGGGGGTCAGGCCACAGAGACATAACCTGGGGATCTGATGACAAGCAGGGCCACATCCCCATTCATTGCCCCCCCGCACCCCCCCGGAGGAGGACGTCAGGGAAGTGACACGTCTGTGGAACCACTCACTCGGTGGAGGTAGGTGTCCGAGTCCTCGGGCATGTCATAGTTGAAGACGATGTTGACTCGCTCAATGTCCATCCCTCGGCCAAACAGATTGGTGGCCACCAGGATCCGCCGCTGGAAGTCTTTAAACTGCTGATAGCGTGACAGACTGGATGCAGGAGGAACAAGAGGCGGCCGTCAGACACGGGGTTCCTGAGCGGCACTCCCCACGCGGTGCCTGCCTGGGGCCTCTGAGGGCGGCACGCACTCACCGCTCCTCCTGGGCCATGCCCCTGTGGATAGCAATGGCCGGGAAGTTCTGCTCCACGAGGAGCTGGGCCAGGGCCATGCAGCGCTGCACTGACTTCACGAAGATTACCACCTGCGAGGGAGGGAGGCAGGAAGCAGCGGTCAGAGTCAGAGCGCCCCTTCCCCCACACCCAGAACCCCAGGAAGGGCCACACAGTGTCACCTGGTTAAACTCCAACACATCCAAGAGATCAAAGAGCTTGCGGTTCTTCTCACTGTCCTTGAGCTTGACGTAATACTGTTGCAATCCGTGCAGTGTGAGCTTGGTCTCATCGTCTACAAACACCTCCATGGGCTGTGCAGGAAGGGGCAGGCAGGGCTTACTTCCGGGCATCTGGCCTGCCCAGAACGTCCTAGCGAAGGACTCCATGCTGTGATGCTTCCCGGAGGGCGGGCTGTCTCCCAGTATACACCTCTGTCCCAACAGCTGACCTCAGCCCTGGTCTGACTCAGGTATAGACCAAGCTCAGCTCCCAGTCTGACAAGACACAGGGGGGAAGCCAGGCCCCTGGGCCTCCCAGCATTCTCGTGCAGTGAGGGAAGGGTGGGTGTCCTGGAGCAGCAATAGCTCAGGCCCCAGAACCCAGCAGGGCCAAAGCTGTCAGTCCCAGCCTACTCACATCTTGCATGAACTTCCTGCAGACAGGCCTGATCTCCTTGCTCAGGGTGGCGCTGAACATCATGCACTGCTTCTCATGGGGTGTCAGACGGAAGATCTCCTGCACATCCCGCCGCATGTCTGGGTGGGGAGGGCAACAAACGGGTGCGCATGAGTGCCTGGCAGACCACGACCCCCACCCGAGACCAGCCCCAGCTCCTCCCAACCTGTGCCAGGGAGCCGTTAGCGCCTTGACGAGGGCGGTGTGAGCCGAGGAGTGGAGGGAGGGGTGAGTCCCGGGTGCCTGAGGGGCTGGACTCGGGGCGAGCACAGGCGCGAGAGGAGCTGCCATCCACTTACACGCTGCCAGAGCGGAGCAGCCGTGCCAGCGCGCCTTGAGCCACGCTTCAGGGAGGGGAGCCTGAGGCAGAGACAGCCGCTGGGGTGAGAGCTGCAGCCGCCTCCCAGGACACAAGCCCCATCTCCCACCGGCCCTGGCGGGGCTCACTCAGGGCAGGCAGGGGGCTAGAACTAACTCAGCAGGCGGCGAGGCCACCCCATTCCAAGGGCTAATACGTACACAGGCCCGGACGCGGCTCGTTTGGGCCCTGTGGCCCCACTCAGCTTGGGCTCAGAAGCAGCAGGTCACTCTGCCAATGCTAGAACTTGCCCTGAAATCATGTATAGAAGACCTGTGTGCCAGCTACCCACCTGACCCCTCTCTGAGGCAACCTTTGGCCTATCCTGTCAGGGCCCACCTGGCTCTGAAGTCTGGGGGGCTAGGGGGGCTGTGAGGGTGGGGAGGGTGCGGCTGGGTGGGCCTCCGGCAGCTCCCATACCCAAAGAGGACGCTCACCCAGCTGCTCCAGCATCTTGTCACACTCGTCCAGCACGAAGTGCTTCACGTTCTTCAGGTTCAGGCTCCTGTTCCGCACCAGTGCCAGGATCCGGCCTGGTGTCCCCACTACGACATGGGGACAGTTCTTCTTCAATACTTCTTCATCCTTCTTGATGGAAAGGCCCCCAAAGAACACGGACACCTACGTGGGTGGAGAGAAAGTTGCTTTTGCCTGTCTAAACGCTGAAGGCTCACACCCACTCCAAGCTGATGGCCACCCAGCCTGTAGCCCTATCAGCTTCTGCTCCAGCGGCCCCCTAACCTCCTCCCCCGGCCCCCCCGCCCCGGCCTAGAGCCTGAGAGCCTGGCCATGACTCCAGTGGAAAGCAGCCCCATGGCTGGGACCAGCACAGGCCTCTGGGGGCCATGCATAATTCATCAGGCTTTTAAGGAACATAAACCACCGCAAACCTCAAAGGCAGCCTCTGCAGCCAAGCTTGGTAAACACTGGCTGGGCCAGAGCTGGGACAGCGAGGCTGCAGAGGACCATGCAGCACGCCCAGCCCGGCCTGAGACTTACCTTGACACTGGGCATGTACTTGGAGAAGCGTTCGTACTCTTTGCTGATCTGGAAGGCGAGCTCCCGCGTATGGCACATGACCAGGACTGTCACCTGCAGGGCAGGTGGAAGAGAAACACTCAAGTCAGTGTCCCAAGTCCTGCCCCAGCCACAGCCCACACCAGTGCTCTCCCATGGGGGCCCATGTCCCTCAAGGGTGCCTGCCCGACTGCTCCCCACACCTCCTGCCACTGGAAGGTCCGGTCCAGATGCTCCACCTTCTCCCCACCCTTCGCCTGCCATTCACTCCCTGTGTCCCTTCAGCTAATGAGGACTGTCTCCTGCTGCCGGGATCCACAGGGAGACCTAGCTGGTGAGGTAACCCATGCTAACAGATTCCTGAGAGTCTGCTCTCTGGCTGGCCCATGACCACTGAAGGAGGAGGCTGCTCCCGCCTTCATGCCCACGATGCCAAGTGCTGCGACCACACAGCCTCCCCGTGACTCTCCCTCTCCTTCAGTCGACCCTAAGGAAACCAGGGCTCGTGCACCCACACGCAGCCCATGGATGTGGGCCCCAGTATGACAAAAGCACAACACAGGAAGGCACCTCGATTCTCCAACAAAATTCATGTGTGAGGAAGTAACTGTCAGCAGCAACGGTAGTAACAAATCTTTATTCAGTACAATCTCACCTGAATAAACTTGTACAATCTAGAAAAGCACATGACAAATTAACAGCTGTACCTCTGGCAAGGAAAATCATGGGCCCTTTTCAGTTTTCCCTCTCAGCTGATCATTTCTGGGGGGATTCTGTCACAACTAAGTATGGTACTTAATCTCAAAAGCCCACAAAGAGCACAGAGGATCGGAAACGTTTAACACGGGGAGCGGTAGACACTGGCGCCTCAGGCAGCTCGGGCCCAACAGGGAGGGCGCCCACCCACCTGTCCGTTTACTGGCTCGATCTGCTGCAGGGTGGCCAGCACGAAGACTGCCGTCTTGCCCATCCCAGACTTGGCCTGGCACAGGACGTCCATGCCCAGGATGGCTTGGGGAATACACTCGTGCTGGACTGAGGGAGAGAGCACGCATGAGCGACCAGAAACCGGATGCTCCCTGGGTGCAGGCTCCTCGCCAGGTGGCTGAGGAGACCACAGTGAGGGCGCTCAGAGGAGGCTCTTGACAGGGGGAACCAGGGAGGCATACCCTCAGATGGATGCTCAAAGCCACAGTCCACTATGGCCCTCAGGAGCTCTGGCTTTAGCAGAAAGTCCCTGAAGCCAGAGCTGTGGATGGAAACATAGGAACCCTTGACGTCTTTCTTGGGGGGAGCAGGAGTGCTCTCTGGAGGAGCCTGGGGCTCTTCATCTTCCTCATAATCCAGAAGCTCATTTTCCACATCCTGTTCTGCCATGGTGCTGAGAACAGAGGAAGGAGAAGAGCTGAAGGAAGCGAATGAAAAAAACCCACCCATCGAGGGTCACTGAGGGAGAAGGCTGCCCAGCAGCTGCGGTCTGTTGACACAGGTCCAAGAGGAGCAAGTCACTGGAGCCATCTTACAAGCCGGCACAGAAAGGACCCAGATGATGAAGCTGATGGCCATCACTCTCTGACCCCTTTCCCTCATACCCTCCCTCCAGCCCACACACTCCTGCAGAAAGTCCCACCAGCTCCACCTGGGAAGCACCTCCTAGCCTAGCCTGTCGTGGTCACACCCTGCCCTGCTGTAAGCCACCTCATCTTTCTCTGGGCTCCTGTCCCCCATGCCCACACATGCACACACCCCTCCACCTCCAGGGCCTCCCTCTGCTCTGAGTGAAATCCCTACACTTCCCTATGGTTCTCACATCCCTCCTCATTGGCCCTTGCACACCTCATTCCACATTACCCCTTTCAAACCACTCCCAGCCTTGCCTGGCTGCTCAGACTCATCAAGCCCCTACCCCCAAGCTTTTGCAGCACATTGCCACCACCAGGAAAACTCTAATGAGCCACCTCAGCCCACCTAACCCAAAGGAGCTCGCTCCCCACCACTGCCCAAGGAGTCCACCAGGCCTGCACGGGGTAGGACCCCTGAGACCAGAAGATGTGGCTGCCAGAATGCTGGAGAGACCTGAGTCTGTGTGAGAGCATAGTCTGCCCTGCCCCAGCTCCTCCCGCTATTTGTGGTCTGCACAGGGGAATAATTAAGTACTCTCATGAACAGGCCTCCCACTGGGCCCAGGCCAATAAAAATAGAGCTGAGATGGTAAATAGAATTAATACAAAGCTTGCTCACCTCCTGGCTTTATTTAATCCAATACAGCACCTACTGGGTGCAAGCTACAAGAGACCCCAAAGTGAGAATATGATCTTTTGTCCTCCCAACCCCACCCCAGCCTCCAAGTCTAGAGGGAGGAAGAGCTGAAGCAGTCACTCTTCTTCCTGAGCTGAATGTGGAGGGTCCTGGGCCCACTTTATGGCCCTCCCTCTCTCATTCTCTCCATGACTTCATCCAGCCCCAGGGCTTTAACCACCTCTGTGTGACAGACCTCCCAAACTTCTGTCTCTATGCGGTGACAGCTCTCCTCAACAACAGCCTCTGTTACCCAGCTTCCTCGTCCACATCTCCCCTTGGAACCTGAACGCAAAATACCCAGAGCAAACCCTCTGTTTCTTCCTGCAGACCTGCTTCTCAAAAAAGGCAATTCCATTCTCTCAATGGCTCTTTCTCTCCCCCTGTCCAGTCAGCCAACAGGTCCCAATAGGACAATTAGGCCACTTCTCGCCCCTGCTACCTCACTGGTCCCAAGCTACCTTCACCTTTCTTTCTTTTTATATATTTACTTAAATAATCTCTACACCCAACGTGGGGCTCAAACTCTGGACCCCAAGATCAAGAGTCGCATGCTCTTCTGACTGAGCCAGCCAGGTGCCCCTTCACTGTTCTTTTTTAAAATTATAACAGCTTTACTGAGATATTCACAAGCTATACCATTCACCACTTAAAATGTACAACTCACTGATTTTTAGTGTTCTTAGTACAGTCAGAAATATGTGCAACGATCACCACAGTTGGAATGCATTACACATTTCACTTGGTCTTCAAAAAGATCATACCCTTTACCTATCATCCTCCCCATCCCAACCCCCTTGGCTACCACTAACCTACTTTCTTTTCCATGAATTTGTTGTTTCAGACATCTCATAAATGGAATCATACAACATGTCACCATTCATCCAGCTTCTTTCACTTGGCATGTTTTGACACTGATCC